ATGTAGGCCCAAACACGGGCCCAACAAAAAATCCAAAAAATTGCTTTTATAAAGTTTTTGCTGAGATTTAAAAGATGTATTAAAATGATTATAAAAAGATTTTCAAACAGTCGAAACCCCCACGGTTACTTGAACATGAGTGCTGATAGTATTGAAGAGGGCGTGTGTAACCCCCAAGACTGTGGTGTTTTAATTGTCAATGACTCCAGCGTAAAAGGTAATATAGAGGATATCTACTGTTTAAAATATAGGTCCAACACGGGCCCAACAAAAAAAACTAAAAAATTGCTTTTATAAAGATTTATAAAGTCTTTTGTTGAGATTTAAAAGATGTTTTAAAATGCTTATAAAAAGATTTTCAAACAGTCGAGACTCCCACAGTTGCTCGAACCCGAGTGCTGATGGTAAGGAAGAGGGCATTTGTACCCCCAGGCCTGTGGTGTTTTACTTGTCAATGACTCGAGCGTAAAAGGTAATATAGAGAATATATACTGTTTGAAATGTAGGCCCAAACACGGGCCCAACAAAAAATTAAAAAATTGCTTTTATAAAGATTTATAATGTTTTTGTTAAGATTTAAAAGATATTTTAAAATGATTATAATAAGATTTCCCAACAGTCGAAACCCCCATGGTTGCTCGAACCCGGATGCTGATGGTAAGGAAGAGGGCGTGTGTAACCCCCAGGGCTGTGGTGTTTTACTTGTTATTGCTACGTATACAGTTGTATATTTTAGGTATTAAAATCTACGCTTAAAACCATTTAAAAAAGGTTATAAAAAGTTACTTAATCTTTTTAAATCTTAAAATGGGGTTTGAAATAGGAATCCCCTGTACTTATAACCAAATTTTAATGTAAAACACCGCAAGTCCTTTCATTCAAAACCTCATCAACACAAAATAACAATAATGTATAAAATGATAATGTAATAATATTATATTGTTTAATAGAAGAGTAAAATTAGAGATTAGCTCAGATTGGGGCTACGCATGTAGATTTGTTGTGTCCACTCTAACCACACCTACCACATTTGTAATTTTTTGATTTGGTACAAGACTTGCCATACTCCCAACCAGAAGGAATCCTCTTTTTCTTTCGCCTCCCACTAGGGATGCGAGTAGAAGGTGGAAGACAAATAAAATTAGCTACATTAGGAGGGATGTCCCAATAAGTTTTATCTCCAACAGGATAAATACTCTCTGCATATGCTAGTATCCACCTGTGAGAAGATAATATGATTACCTATACAGAACAACACGAAATGAATAAAGAATAAAGGAGTAGACAAAAAGAGGCAATAGTACCATTCTTTAGAGAAACAATCATCGACATAATTATTTTCGTTGTGTTTGGCAGCTTTGGCAGCAGCAATCGCATGAGCACATGGAAATCTTTCAATATCAAACACACAACATGTGCATTGCCTTAACATCAAATTCACAACCTCCTTTCGTTTGTCACCCTTCACCTCAAACTCAAGCTGATTGATTGGACACACTTCAAGCCACTGTGATTAACTGTCATAGGATTCCTTCATTCTCTTCCCGACTTCTAATGTCACAGGGTGCAGATGGCGTGAACTCATCTCATGCCTTTCCTGGAACCACCTTGTCAATATAGACCTAATAGTGTCAAACAGGCACACTATAGGGTATTCACGAGGGATAGTTAACAAAGAGTTAAGAGATTCTGCAAGGTTTGATGTCATGATGTTATAGCGAGTGGAAGGCGCATAAGCGCGTGACCATTTCGTGACATCAGCTTTCACCAGATAATCTCCGAGCAATGGATGAGCATTCTTGATTTTGTTGAACAGAAGATTAAAGTCATACTTCATGTAAGCCTTCATTGCCTCCTGAACCAAAGCCACAAGAGAAGCGTCCTTGAAGTGTGATTCCACGTTTTTCTCAAAATGAAAACTGCAGATGCCATGATGAGCTAGTGGGTAATTTATCGAAACACCTTTCGCAATAGATGGTGCACGATCCGACACAAACACTAGATCTTCCTCGTCCGGAATGATAGTCTTCAGGCACCTCAAAAACCACTCCCACGAAGCATCATTCTCAGAGTCAACTACCCCGAAAGCAATGGGATATAATTGAAAGTTACCATCTTGAGCTGTGGCACCAAGCAAAGTCCCTTTAAATTTTGCCTTCAAGAAAGCACCATCGATAGCAACTACTTTCCTTAGCACCTTAAAACCTCTAATGGATGCGCCAAAGGACAAGAAAGCATACATGAATTTTCCAGCATTATCTACCTCAATTTAGGTTGCAGACCCGGGATTCTTTTGCTTTACCATGTGGAAAAAACTTGGCAGAGCTTCATAGCTATCTTCTGGAGTACCTCTAGCAATCGCTTCAGCATGTTCTTGAGCTCTCCAAGCTTTTGAATATGAGATAACGACACCATGATCCTTTCTAGCCTTTTCTATTATCTGTTTAGGTCGCAATCCAAGCTTCCCTCCATCGTAATGATTACTTAACATAGTACCCAAGACCTTTGCGCTTGCTTGCCGATGGTTAACATGCCTTAATGATGAGTCACAAGTATGCTCGTGCACATACTGTCGAACAACAAAGCTTTTGGAGCCCATAACTCTTGTTGCACGAAATCTCCAGGTACAACTTTCATCAACACAACATAGAACATACCGTTTCCTGTCTGATAATTCAGTGCAGAACTCAAAGCTATGAAGCATCGAAAACATTCGTAGCTTCGTGCCCATTTCGTTTTTGTCTTTAAATAGTTTTCTACAATACACACCTTCATTATCGAAAGCAACTGATTGTGAGGAACCAGATGGAGCAGCATGTCCTGGATCAAGGGATGATGACAATTGCGAAATTCCTGACATTGTACTTGAATTCGATCGTCTCTGCAGAATAGAAACATCCATATATATCAGGGATGAACAGATTATAAAACCTTTTAAAAGGCTCATTTTTTATAAGCATACCACAACTGGAGGAATGGATGGAGCAGTGAAACTCTCTTCAAACTGCAAATTTGAAAAGCCAATTGCAAGATTTTGTAAGTCCCATTGAGTACAGTATATTCATTCACAAAAATTAATTTGTAACCCATTCCAAAGCTTCATAAAAATACCTCATTGACAACAAAGTGTGGGGCAGCAGAGGCAGTAAAACTCTCATTATTTATCTGGATGTTGTTTCGAACCATGAATGAACGAGAGTTTGTTTCTCTCTGTAACATAAACATTATAATTCATGAATTTTCTTTGTAATCATATAGACACAAAATAATTATACTACTTACCTCATCCATAGCACGAAGGAGGCAACGATGGGAGCTAGAAACTTCAGTAGCAGGATCCGTACTCTTTATTTCCTTCACTGTCACACATAACTCAAAAACTCTTCCACTCTCTTGAATCTTGTGCATAAAAGCTTCTAGTTGCCGATCATTCCTAATGACCATAGAAGGGAGATGTTTTGACACCAAAAGAGAGCTTGAAAGTGATCCATAGCTAAGTTTCAGATCATTGGCATTCCCATCAATTCCAAAATCTTCTAAAACAATCGCAGCCAGCTCATCGTAAGTGATATTCTCTTTGATGAGTATAAAAGAAGCTCCTCTGTCAGGATCAACAACGAACTCCCATTGTGTGGTATAAATTCCAAGCTCCACAGACGAAGTATATCTCAAGCACTTTGCCTGATGAAAAAAATATAACAATTTATAAGGGTTTACAAATTTACAAATTCATCGTTGAGAATCTAATCGGAACATCTTTTTCACAAAATTGGATACCTACTTGTCATTAAAATTTATAATCGACAATACATCATCCTATTCCCTAAAAATCTTATGCGAATGAAATTATAATTCCCAGAAAATCAACAAGTTTTTTGCGATTTGACAGAATCAGAAGGGTCATACATTTGGTCAATGAATCCAACAGAATCGCCGGCGAGAGATGATGTGATTCAGTTAGTTAGAACAAATGAATTATGATTTCCCAGGAAATCAACAAGTTTTTTGCGATTTGACAGAATCAGAAAGGACATACCTTTGGTCAATGAATCCAACAGAATCGCCGGCGAGAGATGATGTGATTCAGTTAGTTAGAACGAAATCGCCGACAATTTGTATCTCGCCGGCGAGATACAAATTCGGCGAGCCACGATGATCGTCTCTTCTGATATCGAGAATTTTTTGGTTGAGAACGTGATATGGGGATATAATAGTTAATAAAAATGGTATTTTTGATTGATGGTAGTTTTGAAAATAGTAATGAGAGAAGTGATATTTTTTTAAAATTCCCATAGTTTATTCTATTTTTTACTCTATAAATAAAAATCTTTAAAAATAAAAAGAAGTTTTCTCTAATAGTTACTTCTATATTCTACTTAAAAAAAGAATCTTTTAAATATATTTTCATTTATATTTAGTTATTAATTTTTAATAAACCTTTTACTTTGCAAATATACAAATCTATCCATTTATTTTGTATTTTAAGAAAACAAATTATTAAAATTATGATTTTAATAAAATTAAAAATTTACTACATAATCATTACATAAATAATTATTGTTATTATAATTTTATTTACGTATAAAAATAAAATATATAATTTTTTTTAGTTACAAAACAAAAACATATTAAAATTAAAGGAATATTTTGTGAAAAAACGTTTCACTCAAAAAAATACAGATCTCTATATTTAACTTCAAATTTGGAGTTAAAAATAGAAATCTTTATTTTCAGAATAAGATATTGAATACTATTTGAAATGTTTCACTTAAAAAATAAAGTTTAGAGCCGAAAATAGAGTCTGATTAGAAATACTCTAGACAGACATGTTTAAAAGTTGGTACATAAAAATTATTTTTAAAAGGAAAGAAACTTTTTGTTCTTCTGTTGATATCAAACACCTGTGAAAATAGTCAACACATTAAGCAAGTTGCCATTTTCATGCTTCAAACCACACTATTTAAATGTTCCCGTCCTCCATTCAAAAAATATAAAGAAAACGTTATCAAACAGTAATCACAACCTTTAAATTAATAAACACAAAATTTCAAGTTGAAGATACGATGGCATCAAAGACAGCATTGCTAATTTTGTTTGCTTTCTTTCTCTCCTGTAAGTGTCTCTCCCTCTCTCTCACATATTGACCAACAAAATTTGAAATATATATAGCTTGATGGAACTGTAAAAACTGAACAGACATGTTGACAAGCGTTCCTGGAGCTGAAGCTCAGTTGATAATTCCGTGCAAGACACCTGCAGAATGTAAATCGGTTCGATGTTCGAACGGAAGCGCGCAATGTGTGAACAGACAATGCCAATGTCCGAGCCTCAAACTGGTTAACCCGATGACAATATATACTCATGGGTCGTGCAAGACGATCTTTGATTGTGCTGCTTCTCGTCAATGCCCGAAAAATTTATATGCTTGCATTGAAGGAAAATGTATTTGTTTGCATTAGTATGTTCGAAATTTATAACTTTCAACATACCCAATGTTTAATAAAAGGAAATTTTGTTTTTTATAGTGAAATCTGACTAGGAATTGTGACAGCAAAAAAGTAAAATAAAAACTTAAATTTCTTTCATTTTATCACCTTTTTCTGTAGACAATGAGGTGACTAAGAAAATGAGAAAAAACATAAATTGAGAAGGAATAATGAATTCTTTTTCATTCTTTAATATTTTTTTATCATTTACTTGTAATATTTGTTTCATATCATTCACTTTCATTCTTTATTGTTTAAGGAATAATAGAACAAAAAAATTCCTTAACAAATTTAGAAAGGAATAAAAAATATTATTTATTTTTTTATATGTATTTTCATTTCTATTCATTCTTTTTATTTTATTCTTTTTATCTTTTTTTATTTTCATTCTATTTCATTTTTATTTGTTACCGGTTAGAAACCACAACAATAACAAAAAAAAAACATAAAAGGGATAATATCAAATCAGTATAACCCCAGTTCGTACCGAATGAAAAAAATTGAGTACCAAGAAGGTGTTGTGGTTAACCGTTGGTTTGACAATTGCAATATGTAATAATACTGTATATATTACGATTCTTTGTTTCATTGCAGTCAAAGAGATTCTATCTATATATTTTTGATTAAGCATATAAGCTCAATATTTTATTCTTTAATTAATCATACGTTTGTTGAATTTGCATCAATCAACATATATAGCAATGACATGTATGTGTATGGTATTCAAAATTGTATGTACATACTTTATATTTGCACGTTGGAGGGCATACATTGATACATTGAGAGTTTCCCTTGCAAGGCGTACGCAGTTCGATGTTAGACACAGGACTTATCGCTGAAGTAGTAAACTTTTGTTGATCCTCTGCCAGAGGAAGACAACCACATATAGGATCTCTGTCACAAGGACAATTACATGAATCTGGTTCAGGCATTCCTTTCACCATCGCTTCAGATACGGACAACAAATCTGCATCCGGTTTATTTTAAAATTTTAGTAAAATTTTCCAAAATAAAATAAAATGTAAAATTGATATATCTAATTCAAATCTATGGTACATGTATATATTCTTACAAGATGCAACAAAAAGAGCAAATGCGAAGTGAATGAGTTTGGCCATAATGTTTTGAGTTTTTAATAGTCTATAAATCTTTTTGAGTGTGAATAACTTTCTCTCTATATATATAGAGAGAGAGACTCAAAAAACTTTGACTGTTTGAAATATATTTTTAGAACAGATAATTAAGTTTCTTATTTAGTTAATTGACTTCATAAGTTCAAAAGCTACATTAATGTTGGACCTCTTTATGGTGACACGACAACTTGAAATTAGTTATCAAAACTTTGATTCGATTTTATTTGAAAAATCTCCTGTATCCCACAGAAACTCATCTTAGAGTATCATTCAAGAGTGTTCACCGGCTCATAGATATCACTCTAATATAGGGTAACCTCAGACAAATTCTCCATAAAAAGCAGTTGGACACCAATCACACTCATGTTCTTCTTGAACTTTGAGAATACATTCTTTTGTCTTTTAGTGTGGAATCTCCAAGGAAATGGAAGCTTGGACTCATAAAAAGGAGGTTCAACTCTAGGAGTTCCTTCCATTTCAATCGTCTTTGAGACGTCTACCTTTTCTTTAGTGCTCTTTTCCACTTGCTTAACTTTTTCAAGAACAAAAATCTCAACACTAGGATCATGGAGAATTGGAGAGGCCTAGAGATTTCCTTTGTTTCCCTTTCAGTCTCATCAATCTTTCTTATTATCATTTCTCTTGGGAGGCCAATGGTTTCATCTACATCATCATTAGAGAAAATGGCATTGCAAAACTTATTAGGGTTAGACTCGGGTTTTTCCAGAAAGTGTTCCAATGGGTCTTTTAAAAGAAGAAGCAACTTGAGCTACTTGATTGTCCAAGGTCTTCACGTGTGCGGACAGGTGCTCAAACTTAGCATTTAGATCAATATAACTCCCATATACCTTGTTGTGCATCTCCAACATTCTCTTGTCCAAATCAATAGTTTTTTTTTTCTCTTGCCCCTCTAAAATTTGCTTAAATAAAAGCAGTGTTTGATCTTCCTTAGATGGTAGAAAGGCAGAACTTCCTTGTCCTTGGTGGTTTCTTTTTTTGTGGAAATGGTTGTTGCTTGTTGATGAACTGACCTTGATGTTGGAAACCTTGTTGTGGGAATTGTGGCTTTGTAATAAAACCTTGTTGTTGAAAGTTTTGTTCTTGTTGGAAGCCTTGTTGTGGAAAGTTTTGTTGATGTTGGAAGCTTTGTCCTGGTAGCTTTTGTTGAGGATAAACTTATTTTTGTGAGTTGTCAACATTGAGGTTTCTATAGAAAAAGTTTGGATAATTCCATTAGTTTTGATTAAACCCTCTTTTAGCATTATAATCACCTTGCATATAGCTTCTTCCTCTTGTCATTTATGGTAAATCCCCATACCACTCTCTTTGTTCCCATCAAACTCTCCCACATAATGAATATGTTTTTGATTTGATTTGATAAATTTATCAAGCTTGTAATTAAGCTCTTTGATTCACATGTCTTAACATTTTGGTTCCCTTAAGGTTCTATCATAATCTCCATTGCAACATTGATCACTTTGAGCAAGATTTTCCACTAGTTGCTCCCCTTTTTCTACAGTAACGCTTGCAAAGGTATCATTGTTTACTGTGATTAATGCTATGTAATACTTCTCATGCACTCCTTGATGAATAGTTTCCAAAAGAATTTTCATAGACACACCATGATGTGAGCAAGATCTTGTGTACCCTTTCAATCGCTGCCAAAATTTATACAAAAATCCATTTTCGCCTTGTTTGAATCTTGTGATGTCATTTCAATGGTTAGAGAAGAATTTCGCAAAAAAATTTCTTCTTACAATCATCCCAAGTAGTGATTGAAGAGGTCACAACACTCTTCTCCCATTGTGATGCCGTAATACTTAGAGAGACAGGGAAAATTGTCAACTTTATTACATCTTCAGATACTCTATTTATCTTAATTGTTCCACAAAGCCTATCAAAGTTGTCAAGGTGTTCAATGGGCTCCACTGGTAGACCAAAGAATCTGTTATTTTGGACCACATGGATGAGATTTGACTTGATTTCCCAATTGTTGTTTGCACATGATGGAGGACGAATTCCAGTTCCTGTATCATTAGTGATTGGCTCATCAAAAGCCCCAATCCTCTTTGGCTCCCTAAGTTGGTGGATAATTTATTTCGTGTATCAAAACCAAATCGATGCCAAACCAAAACGGAATAGATACTCAAATATCCAAAATATGATTCTATTTGGTTACAATAAAAAAATTATAAATTAATAATGTTGAAATTTTAATATTTAATTAATTTATAAAGTTATTAATTATTAGTTTTAAATAAAATCATTTATTTATTAACAATCAATTAAAAATAATATTATTAAAAAATTATGATAAATTCTAAAATTTTATTATAAAATTAGAAAAAAGTTGTAAAAATATTTTAATTTTAATATAAAAACAACAATATACTCATATTTTAATAGATTATCGTAATTATATATTTGTATAAAATAATTTTATTGTAACTATTAATTTGATATTAATGGAATTGTATATTTACATAGATTTTTTAAAATAATTATTATCTTAATATCTTATCGATTTATAGTATATTTTGCAATGACACAACTCTGAACCAGAGAAATTTATTAATTTATAAAATTTATTAATTTATTGAATACTATTTTATAGAGTTTCTACTATATTAGTTTTATTTATATTTGAAAGAACAAAAATAACAAAAATTAATTGGATATATCCAAAAAACTGAAGTATCCGAATATTGTCATATAAATTTATCGGATGTATTTACGGGTTTTTACCTGATTAACCAAACTCGTTTTTCCCGTTATACCAAAGTACCGATCCGAATTTCGTAAATATCCAAACGGTTCTTATACAGCTATTCCAAATTACCCAAAAACCAAAAGATAACAAATTAAACCAAACCGAATCACATACCCGAATGCTCAAGCCTACGAAACAATCAACCAAACTAAAAGGTGAAAAAGTTGGACACAAGATAAACAAACAACATTCAAATGGGCAATACATCTCTATTTTGGGGTCTAATCCAAATTCAATTTATGAGGGACAGAAGCCCTTCGCTGGATTAGGTGCGTCACAATTCCACAGGACAACAAAGATTCTTGATTTTGGCCGAACGCGCCCATATAGCCTCTGCATTCGTTAAACGCCATACTCGTCTTTCTGGTTCTCAAGTCGAACACAAGATGTTCATAGGGGTACTTAGGATCAACAAAGACGACGCAGTTCCCTTTCATACCCGGAAGCTCTCTCGCCGAGTAGCAGAGATTCCAGTCAACCCCAAGAAACACCACTCGATCCTCTAAGTCAATAACCCGAACCCATTTCCTCTGGCCTTCCTCTTCGAGCCTAAACAATCTGAACCAAGCATGCTTATGTTCATGACAATACGCTCCTGGAGTAATTCTCTGCACCAGCAAGAGCTCTTCTCCTGAGATGACCAGCCTCTCATCGAAAGTCTCGTGAGACTGCGTGACTGCTTGGATCTCACTAATTTCCAACGAGGGTTCGATGACATAGACACGTCCTCGTCCCCTCATATCAATAACATAAAACTTGCCTTTGAATGAAACCATGTCTCTATATCCAATAAACGGACACTCGATTTTAGTCCAGGTCTTGTCACCGCTTCTATACGTCATTAAATTTCCCAAAACTCCAGCTACTACTACGAAATCTTTGCCATCTTCACTATCAAGTTGAAGAAACGCAACTCTCTTGGAATATTTCTCACGTCGTGTTCTATAGCGTCTTGTTGTTATAGCGTAGAACTTTATCTATATCAAAGAACCATCTCATAACCAAATTGACAATGGAACAGAGTTAGGCCTTGAATAGTTATTTTAGATTGGTTTTGAGTTCTTTGTTTTTGAAAAAACTAAGTTTTCACCTAAACAAGATTTTAGAAAAGTAGTTTTCTTAAAAATTAGGCAAACTAGTATTTCGAAATTTCCAGTAATTTTCAGTCAAAGACCAGTTTCACCAAAAAAAAAAAAAACACTCAACGTGGCTTTTGTTTTTTTATTTGTAATTATTTTCTTTTTTTTTGTTGCAAATATTATAAAAAATATCCAAATCCAAAAACTCAAAACTAAATAATACAAAATTCAAAAAACCAAAAGACAAAAACCATTATAAAAACTACAACATTCATGGCCTTAATCTTATAGTAAAACATTAGGCAAACTAGTTTTTTGAGATTTTACTAATTTCCAATGAAAAAACGAAAACCATATTTGAATTTTCACCAAAAAAAAAAACACATCTATTTTTCTCAAATTGTGACTTTTGTTTTTTTTTTATTTGTAATAATAATAATAATAATTTTTTTTTGCAAATTTTATTAAAACTATTCAAATCCAAAAACTCAAAGTTCAAAAAACTAAATTCTAAAATTTTCATGGCCTTAATCTTAAAATAAATAAAAAATCAAGGTAGATTTTAGAACCAACCTTGTAGTAATCACCCAAGGAGATGATTTGGGAGCTAAGAGTGCTGAGAGTTATTCCATATTTATACCTCGAACTATGTTCTAAAGGTGACAACAACTTCAGCTTACCAGATTTGCGCTGGCTCATCCCTACCAACAAAGAATCAGCACCAAAGGGAGTCTGGAATCTCAAGAGAAAAACCTGAATCTTTCTGAATTTGCAATGCGCATCATCGTCTTCGAACCGAGGGTCGTGGTTGAAAACAGGGAGAAGGCTATTAAATCCTATGGAGCGACCATAGCTCGGCGTAGGTACGGCGGACCGCCATGAGCTGCAGACAGAGAGGAAGTGAACAATCTCAAAACATGTCTCAGAACGACCATTGATTAGTCCTAGCAAGTCTTTTGGAAGCAGCGACCAGTCTGCCATGGTTAGATCCTGCGAAGAGTTAGAGATCTTAAGATGAGATGTAAGATGATAAAGAAGTCTTTGTTTATGCTCGCTCTTAACAAAGAAAATAAAAACTCTTTGTTTATAGTTTTCTCTCCTTTTTCCCCCTTTATTTGTTAAATCAGCCAATGAAGACACACTCAAAGGCTGTCACAAAGGTTACAATTTTCAAATTTTTTTTTTCACGCTCACACATTTTGTTAATGTGGAGGGGCTAGAAATATCGGGTTTTCTCCTTTCGCTATTTAAAAGGAAAAGTAGTAAGATAACAAGTATATCCTGAATGTCACTCGGATTCACATTATAAGATATACATAATAGATGCTCGTTTTTGGGTTTGTGACTTGTGAGTCGTGTTTTTAGCCGTTTTTAACATCGTTTTGTGTGTTTTTATCTGAGTTAAACGTGCTTATAGAAATCTATAATCCTTTATCGAGTTTTTATAAAACAAAAATTACTCTAAACGAGAAATTTGGGGTGCAAACGTAAGAAGCTTGATATTCTTTGAAATGTTTTCCACCGATATATCGAACTCAAATTTAGACAAAATATAGAGCTTTGAGTTAGCTTTAGTTTGGAAATATATGTTGAGGCATATTTGGAAACACTTCCTCGAGTTTGATTAAATCGTTTGGAAACCATTAGACTGAAGTAGATACAAATTAATCTACTTGATCTACACTTAGAATTATATTTGGAACATTATGATATGGGAATGAACTCACATTTATTTTGTTTCATATCATTTCTGCCTTCTAATAACAATATAAATTCACTCAGAATCCAAAACACATGTTTAGATTTGCTGCTATACGGAAAGAAACAAAAAACATACTTTAAAGAGCTAAGATCTATGGGAGTTATGAAAAACAAGTAGTATTTATTTAGGGGGTGTTAGTGAGAGTAGGATTTATATAGGGGCAATTTCCATAATTACACTGAAAATAAATTTTCAGGATAAATATGACAGGGAAGCTAAAATTTTTCCACCCTAACATTTTTCATTTGAGTTTTTCGATTTTACCCTTTATGAAAGTCTTCCTAAATGTTTTTTTTCTATTAATATTTCGTGATTTTTTAATACTGGAATTTAACATCGTTTCATATTGTTTATGAAAGCTTTCCTAAATTTTTTTAAAATTTTCTGAATTGTGGAAGGGCTTTCTGAATTGTGGAAGGGTTTCATGAATTATGGAAAAGCTTCTTGAATTTGAGTTGTATAAATTAATAAAAATAATAATCAATCGTACGATTTACGAAGGCATTCCTAAATACATGTAATGACTTCTTTAATTTATACATTTTAGGAAAGTTTTCCTAAAACTTTAGAATATCTTCCTAAATTTACCCTAATCTCCTTCCTCACCTCTGCGACATCCAAACTCTAATTTCCGCCGATTTCTTTTTTTTTCACCATTGTTGCTGTTTTAGCTCAGTTTTCTTGAGTTTTTCATCCAATTATATCAGATCTATCTATCATTATATGATTTTGAGCTTTAAATTCCGAAATCATTTTTCCATAAAAAAAACTCCAAAATCTAAGAGATTCACAATCACAAATCACAATCAAATGAAAAGAGTGATCCTAAACAAAACAAACGATTCAAATTTCAGATCAGTCTTGACCATTGATACATTTATTTGTACATTATTTTTCTTCTCTTTTTATTAACTAATGTTTTGTTTAACTAAGATTAATATGGTACAAAATGTTATGTAATGAATGTTTTAGAGTGTTAGTGTATATATGGAACACAAACTTAGATTATGTGCATCTGAGAAAATTTATCTTTATTTTATGTAGAGTTGTGATGATTTTAAAAGTTGAAAGATTTGTTAAATTTGTAAAGAGTTTGTTAGAATTAAAGAGAGTTATGAATATTTAGAAAATCTATCAAATTTTTTTATTATAATGATTTTAAAAATCTAAGGTATATAGATAGTATTTTAAAAGTTTTGTTTAGTGAGTTAAATTGTTAACAGTTTTTGTCTCAATAACAAATATTTTAATAGATTAACAGAATCATTGAAAATTAAACTTTTTGAATAACAATGGATTTTGTATATAATTTGAAAATTTTTATACCAATAACAATGAATTTTAGTAAGAATGTTAAAAATCATCTACAAATAACAATGAGATTTTAAAATTTTAATTATCATTACAAATCCATCTACCAATAAGCTCTTAACCAAGAAAGAAAGTCTTTGATTATATTTTTCTTTTTTTCTTTTAGGGTTGTTGATTAAATCAGCAAACCAGTACACTCTTAAGGCTGTCACAAAAGAAAAGTAGAATAAAGCAAAAGGAAAGATTAATTTTCTTAAGAGAAATTTAGAAACCTCATGTTTCCCACATGATACTCGCCTCAGAGGAGTACTCTCCTTCTACACACTTTCTGTTGCAGCAGGGGCAGACTCGTTCCCGCAGCACACTACCGCTTATCTTTGATAGTCGTGCTTCTGACTGACAGTTTTCCTCCACCTACATCCCTGTATACAGTAACTGCTGGTTGCAGGGCGGCCTCCGCTGCTGGTTGCAGGGCGGCCTCCGCTGCTGCCTTTCGGAGATCTTGATCGATTTCTGCAATATGGCTGACATCTACCCGAGCCAGCTACTTACTTCGGCCTAGGGTGCACGTAGTTCGCTCCAGGTCATAAGTGATCTGTCGGGATACCTATCCCTGCTCAGATCATTGGAATTTTCTTCTCTTTCAGGACGAGCTTCTCATCCGACCCCTGAGGAAAACCCTCGTCCAATGCCGCGATCCTGAGCAATTATCAGAATTGGCAAGATCCCTTTCCTTTTTGGCGGGTTGACCCTACAGGGTCAGTGTGCACTGTGTGGAAGAAACCGGGTAGGTAATCGCTTCCTAGTGTTTGCGTATTCTTTTGTTGACTAACCATTCTTCTCTTGCAGGTATCTGGAATCTGGTAGACATTACGCTCTTGCTGAAACACTTCAAAGACATCCATGCAGCCAGCCTTTCCTTCTTTCTGTTTGCTGCCTTAGAGCCAGCTCCTTCTGCGTGCATATTGGTTGCTTCTATTCTCAAGAAAATCTTCCTTGTTACTCCTCATCTGTAGATTCGCGGGTGCCGACCTTGGTGATTGAACATGGTTTGCTTTTTTCCGACAATAGATTCTCCTGAACTCTTAGCTTGGTTATTCAACATGGGGCGCAACTCCTCTGGCGACTCTAGTTCATCCTCGCCCCAGCTGATCGTCGTTTCTTTTTCGTGAGGCAATCCTCCATTGGTGGTTCTGGAAAGAGCTTGATCTCTGAATGTTCTGCTTGGTTCCGCGAGCCACTACCGCATGTTCCCTGGACCTTCGTGACGCTCCTTCATCTTCGTTTTGCGCTCAGTTCACGCATTCTTCGTGTAAGCCTCAAGTCATACCTAGCTGCACCAATCAAGAGAAAGAGCATTGGAGCTAAACTAGAAGAAGCTAAGCTTGTAACCGTGAGAATGGGAGGACTTAGTAGCTGAGATTAGAGGAGCTGAGGACTTAGCAACCATACACCACCATTCTGGACATCAAGAGGAGCGTTTTGGTCGAGCCAGAATCAGGCCGGTTTGATTTTATTCCGAAGATATAGCATTCAAACCGCTGGAGCATCTAATTGGACATACATGTGTATTTGGCGAGTTATATAAAAAAACCACGATCTTGCATTATTATTTGGGATATTCAGAAGATAAACAAGCCAACATACCAGCCAATAACTGGAGATATAATGATCAGACCAAAGGAAAACCATCAAATCTACTAAATTAATCAAAAAGAGCTACATTGGAGTTATCTAAGGAAAGGAGAACCACAAGGCATTTTATTCGACCAAGCATATCATTCGACCACCAGAGGAGATATTAGAGTATTTAGAGACCTCAACCCAAGCCAATAACCGAAGCCATTCAAATCAAACCAAGGGAGAACCATTCATTCACATAAATGACCTATATGTGCATTATTGGAGCCAAGCAAGGAAACTTTGGATATATGTCGTGCCAAGACATTATATTCGCCTTCCCTCATGTCCACATGAGTTTATAAGAGCCATCATACACCAGATCAAGTCAGCATTCGATCAAGTCATCAGAAGTCAAAGAAGATTACACCAAACAAGAAGTTTCCTTATTCGGATTTAATTATCTAATGAACAAAGGAAAGCAAGACCACCAATTAACTCCAGTATCTAATCTCGACCATACATCATCTACAAGGAATCCTAGACGTCCAAACAATGGTAAAGACAACAAGATTCGCTCCCCCACACCCCCACCCCAGCCCCCATATCAAGCCTTTCAAAAAATCAAGTATTTTGCCTCCATAAAGGCCAACGGCTAGTCTCCACTCAAGCCATATTTTTTTATTTGTTTTTAATGCTTTGTTATCATTACTTCACATTATTTTCGAGCATTATATAAGCTCCAACCTTTGCACTTTCATGTCACCAATCATTTTATAAAATCAAAGTATTATTTGTTTCAAAGAAAGTTCTTTTGCATTCAAACATGTTCCTGCTTTTCTTTTAAATGTTGTGGAATCAGCTTTGAAGAATTGTGTAGAAACTCTTAGCTCTCGTGAGGATTAACCTTTGAGTAAGAGAATCTAAACTCTTGGTGTTTGGAGTTCAAACATCAACTGACTTTTCCACCATTCAAGTCATTCAACCATCTTTAAGTTTCTAAGCATTTGATTTCAAGAAGCATCACTTGAACCCCATTTCAAGTATTGTATCACCGAGAGATTAGTATCTCGTGGTGGCCATCAATAAAAAGTGAGAGAGAGGGTTAATTCCAGAAAAGACAAGATGTGATATAGCCCAATAACAATAAACAATTATTGCAAATAGACAATGACACTATAAACAATTGCTGTTTTCAAATAATACTCAATATAATAACACGTATATCTTTTTTTATTTAATAAACAATAAAATAATTTTAAAAAAAAAATCGAATAAGCATGTGGGGGTAAAATAAACTAAATGGATGATTAATTATTTACATGTTTATACTTCTAAATGTTTTTTTTTATTTACTCAATTGACTACTAGTCTTATGCCATCTATTCATATATCTCCTGAATTATTGAATCTCAAAACTCAAATCATGGAGATTATGGAAACCCAACCCATTAAAGATGGCGCGTAGCTTAGGGATACGAAACTATCAGAGCAAGATGCAAAAGCCATAAAAATCGGAGGACATAACTACAAATCAACTTTTCGTTCAATAATAAAGACCAATTGAAGCACCTCCATAATTAAACAAAACTCTCTCTTTGGATATATCAACCATTTTATTTTGTATAATTTAATAATGAAATAAAATAAAGAAATAGAACAATTGGAGTTATGACAAATGAGAAACGTATCTAGACATCTCTCATATAAGAGACGTCTCTCCTTCTTTCTTCTCTTCTTCCTTTACTTTTCTTTTTTTTTCATTCTCACAGATTTTCCATAGATTCTCTAATAGAGATGCTCTTAGATAAGACAAAATAGTATCTGATAAAATATATTTAGATAATAATAGATCATTTAAAAAATCATTAATATTACAGTTCCGATCCTACCATTTTGAGCATTTCCAGTGAGAGGTTCTCAACTTAAAAAAAAAAAATAATAAAAATAGAAGAAAAAGAGTGAAAAGAGGTTCTCATTTGAGAACTTTTGTAGTAATAATTGAGAACCATGTCAAATACAATAAAATCTCTATAAATTAATAATGTTGGGACTCTCAAATTTTATTAATTTATAGAGTTATTAATTAATCAATAAATTAATAATTATTAATTTATCATTAAATTAATATTTTATTAGTTTATAGAGATATTTTTAATTTGAATTTTTAATATTTATAAAAGAATAAAATCAATATTTCCAACAATGTAAAATTCATTCAAAAAATATCATAATAATGAATTTAGAAGATAAATCAAACAACTTTTATAAGCTTAAAGCAACAATATTATCATATTTTACTATATTATATTATTAATATATATTGAAATATATAATTATTAATTTATATTATTATTGAGACCATATTTTTACATAGAACTTTCAAAAAAAGTATTATTTTATTATCTTATCTAATTTTGTCAATTTTTACGCTGGCCTGACTTGGGACCGGCAAAAATTATTAACTAATAATAATTATTAATTTATCGAGTATTAATTTATAGAGGTTATACTATATATATATTGTTTAAAATGTATTTTCTAAATTTAGATTTAATTAGAAAATTTAATTATATTAAAATAATATTATTATTTTTTTGTTGAAGAGCCTGTGGATGGTCTTAGTTTTCTGTTGCCCTTTGACATTTCATTGTAATGGAAAATACATATTTTTGTTTATTGGTTGTTTTGTGATTACATGTATACAAATACATTATAGAAATCTCTTCAGTACTGCCTTTCAATGAAAACCTCAGCGATAATTGATGGGAATAAAGTAAAATAAATCATTTGTTAATAACGGTTCTTGCTGCCACAGGGATAATCACAGTCTATGAGGTGGCCTTTTTGGCTCTTTCGAAATACCAATCTCCAACAGCTACAGCAATCCCCTGTTTTTGTTTTTTCCCAACAAGTGACAAACATTATTTTGTATATAATTTTACAGGATTTCAAATCCAAACAAAATGTGTTTAAAACAACATTATAGGAATGATCATGATCATCATTAGTAAAAGAGTGTTTTTGTTTTGTTTCTCACCTTATCTTTACCCGCCTGAGAGTTTCCAGGAAACCAAGAATCTTGTCTCTCCGCTTGGCAATGAGCCCAGCCTGAGGTGATTGACAATCCGTTCTTTCTTGTCGTCACAAATGTCTTTAACGCATTTAACATGCTTATCCTGAAACCTGTAACTCGGAACATAAAAACAGGCAACAATCTTAAATCAAATATTTAAAACTTCTATAGATATTATTTTTAGTTTTGGGGAGTGTTTGGTACTGCTCTAGGTCTCATGAAAACATCACTATTACCTTCCAAGACCTTCTTCTGAGCGTCGTTGCACCTGAAGCTGACGCGGCAGTCATTCCAACTGCCACTTGGATCAGCAGATGGTGGAGCTATACTATTTCCAATCTGTATAGAAAAACAAGATACTATCCTCATGATTCATAGTGAAGGAGAAAATTAATGATGAAAGAGATCGAGTAATATCTTTACCTGCCACGAATCAAATGCCGAGTTGAGAATATACAACGGGGTCTGGACTTGGTTGATTATGTTTTGAGGGAAGAAACACTGTGAAATATTGGTAGCAAGTTAAGTAAATGACGAACAAATTAAATAGCTCATATATTACACAAGAAAACAGATCAAGAGCAACGGGAAACGGATACCGAAGTTGAATCAAGATGGTTTGTACATGTGCGAGGAAGCGTGTTTTGCAAACCCTAAAAAGTTCAATACAACTTTTTTGGTTAGCCTCCAACCATTCATATGTACATATCATCAAGATATAATAGCAACGTTGTACTTGTACCTGGGTGTTTACGACACCAGAATACATACGCCTCAAAGTACGATCTCCAGATATATCAACGCTTCAATTACATGCATGACATAACCAGTCAATATAACTAAATTTTCCATCATCTAGCGCAAAGCAATCTTGAAAAAGAAGAAAAACAAAATTACTCACGTGTCGAGGAAGAAGCCAGCATCACTCATGCATTTTACTTTGGTGGTAAGAGGAAACAAGCTCTTGAAATCATCGCAGCGTAAAATGGATGCAAGACCCCCAGCAGAACATCCGTTAAGCAAAGCCTTCATGTAATATTTATTACATTAATTACTTGGGGACGAAGAAAGATTCAGTTGTGATAAGCAAAATATGAAATATATATGTACCTGCTTTGCCTGACGCATTCCCTTTTCCATTAAATCTTCCATGACAGCTAAAAATATACGCTTTCCTCTAAACTGTAGTTGTGCCGCCTAATTGTAAACAACCATATAGAAATCTCAACTTAAATTACTAATGAACTATATAAATATCGATAGTCAATGCATAGAGAATCAAAAGCAAATACATCTTTATGGTCTTAAGTTAACTAACCTTGTTTTCGCTGTCGCCGCCAAATGACGCACCATCGCAATACCGGACTTTAACTTTATTCCAGTTGTAAAAGTCTGCAACATTTGCCGCAAAATATGAGAAAACATTCAATAACGATTCCACAAATATCACTCTTTTTTTTTTGTTAAGGGAACTTAAGAAAGACCTGGATTTTCAGCTGCTTTATTGCTAAGTATTCCAGTGAATGCTAACACTTTCTCCATTAATGTAGACGATCCGTAACCACTTTTCTTACGGTACTCACAATTTTGAACACTGTCACACCAAGCACCGCCCTTTCAAAAAAATGGTCTTAGTGATTAGGCGAGCGATGATTGATAGGTATACATATAGAGACATAAAGACTATATCTTTTGTACGAACCTGTAACTGAATGATCCAGTTGTTTGCTCCTGAACCGTACCCACGATACAAATGATATCCAGGCACTGACCCATCCAGACACACTGCCACAACAAAGTTAACCTTACATTATGAAAACATTAATTAAGAACCTTAATAAACTGTGGTTTCCATTGTATGTTTGTGTATATATGTATGGCTTTTCTTTTAGACTTCACGTCACACTATCTATATATAGCGTGTTTCTTCTAAACAAAACTACAATCATTTGAACGAAATTATTTAGTTTAATTATAAAAACAAAAATTAAAAAGCAAGCCTTTTTGCAAATTATTATCTCAAAAACTATAATATTTTTGTTTTATTTTATAAAATATGAAATGTTATTTTTTTCCATATAGAAACGAACAAATTGGCGTTTTAAAATATCTGAAACATAAATCTCAAGCGAAATGAATAGGATCGAAGAAAACTGTTACCCGCTCCTTTAGCAGCAGCTGCTTGAACAAGAGTTATTCCTACCATCAGAACATTTGCATCATCTTGTTTCGGAAACACAGTTGTGCCATTGATTTTGTTAAACAAGTGCATTTCATCAAAACCCATTACCCCATCTGTAATACTTAGCAGAACGAGTCCTGCGAGACTCCAACTCCACAAAATCGCATTCATTTTCCTCTTAAAGAATATATGAACTATGAAGATGAATATCGAGACGTATGTAAAGTGGTCATTTATATAAGAAAGCAAATTAAACCATCAATCCTGGTCTTTGTAAAAACAGTTCTTTTTATATGGAAACTCAATGATAAATGAAGACCAGAGAGCAAGAAAGAGATTAACATTCATTACCAGTCATAGGAGAAATCTGTTTCCTTAGTAAGGATTCTACATATCATGAATCATCTTCTAACAATATTTTTCAACTACTAGCTACTGAAGAATGTGACAGTCATGCATAATGTATATAGCATAAATCTGTGCTCTATAACTAAAACTATATATCTACAATCCATACTAAATTGTTATAAAGATCATTAATCATATATGAATAAGTGATCATGATATATATACTAAATTTATACCAAATTAATAATACATACTTTTAAAGTATTTATATTTTTTAAGATATATATATATATATACATATATTAGATGGGCTTTTTGATGAGTTTTGAAAGAGTTAGCATAAATATGAGTCAATTTCCTTTTAGATGATTTTTGTTTTGTTTTTAATTTGGATTTTTGATATTGACTTCTATTTTATTTTGAAAAATACAATTTTGTAAATATATTTTCTAACTGAATTTGAGTTGACGAAAGTAGTTTCTTATTACGTTTTCCTTTCAAACTTAATTTGGAATATTTTTAGTTTAATTATTTTTATCTTTATTTTTGCCATTAGTTTTATTTATTTTTTACACTTAATTTCTTTTTATTTTCAATAAAGCATTGATAATATCATCAATCCTATGCGTATCACATATTTTTTTCTTTAAAGGAATGAATAACATTTTTTATTTAATTGATATATATATAATTTTAATATATATCATAGGTATATAATATATTTATTTCTTTAAAGGAATCTATAACATATTTATTTCATAAACAAATTTAAATATGGACCATAACTAATATATTTTATATTAACAGTCCAGATTTTTAATTGTTTGTCACGACTAAGATTTTGAAATAGTTCAATTCCGGGACGCACATGAAATATGTATTTGGAAGGCTAATGCAAACAAGAAAAGAAACAAAAATCCCCAACAAAAATTCTGAAGGGTTGCACACAGAATATATCCTCAAAAAAGTAATGCATGCACATGGATATGATTTATTGGTCATATTGTTTGTTCAGCCGAATAGTTATTTGGGTCACGATTGAAATTTCCTATGCCTTGGAGTTCTATCCAACCATGGGTGTTTCCATCTTGCCAATCTTGCCATGCGTTTCTGGGCTGGATAACGTGTTCTTCTTGCTTTTTAAATACACTTTCGTTGGTTAACCGGAATGTCCATTAGATGAGATTTTGTCCGCTCACGAATTGGAGAGTTGTACCGCACAATTTTTCTCGCTTGGCGTTCCGCTTGACTCCTCGACTGCCAATACCCCCAAGTTATGATGTGCTTTGAAACTCTTGCATAAAGTCGCGTCCTTTCAGCGTAGGGCTCGAGGGGAAAAAAAATTATATTTTGGTCCTTATCTATTTCTTTGTCTTGCTTCTGGTCATAATGTTTTAAGGTATCTTCTCGGCTTCTTCCATTTCTTATAAATATCAAGGCAAGTCTCCATCCTTCTTCATCATTAACCTTCCAGTATTGTTTTTTTTTTTTGCTTCTACTTGCTTTTCTCTTTCCTTGAGCTTATTTCATTTTGCTGCCTGTCTTTGATCGTTCGTGACATTTCTGGCTTTTTTGACAATGACATACGAGCCTTTGTTCATTGGCCTTTAGCTGAGTGCCTTTAGTTTTCTGAGGGTGATTCTTCCTTTGGTATTTCTCATACTGGTTCAGGTGGGAGGCTCTTTCGTAAGCGTCCTTATCGCTTCAGTTTCCACCTTTCTTTGGGGAAGGAACCCGCTTCTGTTCTCGTTCCCGCTAAACTCGTCATCCGCATCCGCCCAACGTCCTTGTGTCCCTTTGCGGTCCTCTGCTTTAAGATTGGGGCGCTGCTTGTTTTCAAGACAGGGAAGAGGACTCCATGGTTCCTTCAAGAGACGATCTTTGGCCCAATTATGACGACTGGTGTCGGGCCGCTGAATTCCTATTAGGTGGTACCATGATGGATAATCACCATTTTCTTAACACTCCCCCTTGAGTATCCATCAATGTGAAGTTGTGTACTGCCTTGTTAAAAATGTTTTTCATGGAAAAATCCAGTGGGACAAAAACCATGATAAAGGGAAAAAGAGTACATCAACAACAAATTCCCCCTGAAAAAGATGGATCTCATTTTCTCTTCACAGATCACGTAGATGCCACATTCCAATATTGTGAACATATTTCTTCAATATTGTAGTAGGAAGCACTTTTGTGAAGAGATCAGCTGCATTGTCACATGAGCGAACATATTAAATATCCACCTCTTTACTTTTCTTAATCTCTTGAGTATAGGAGAAAAATCTTGGAGGAATATGTTTTGTCCTATCGCTCTTGATATAGCCTTCTTTGAGTTGAACAACACCTGCTGTTATCTTCAAATATTTTTGTTGGCTTCTTGTTGATGACTATTCCACTTTCCTCTTGGATATGATTAGTCATAGATCTTAGCCACACACATTCTCTCGAAGCCTCATGAAGTGCAATGATTTCTGCATGATTTAAAGATGTAGCAACTAAAGTCTGCTTTTGTCAACGCCACGAGATTGCTGTCCCACCAATAGTGAAAACATAGCCGGTTTCCGATCGAGCCCTATGCGGATCTGATAAGTATCCTGCATCTGAAAACCAACCAGAACAACCTCAGGGTTTCTAGGATAATATAATCCAAAATCAATCGTACCTTGAAGATAAGGGAAGATATGCTTAATTCCAATCCAATGTATGCGCGTTGATGATAAATTGTACCTTGCAAGTAAGTTAGTAGCAAAAGAAATATCTGGTCTAATACAATATGCAAAATACATAAGTCACCAATAGCGCTCATATAAAGTACTTGAGAACCTAATATTTCTTCATTACCTTCACAAGGCCGAAATTGATCCTAGTTAATATCAAGTGATCTATTGACCATTGGAGTACTCAAAAGAGTCGTTTTATCCATACTTAACAGTTTCAACACCCTTTTGGTGTAATTTGATTGATGCACAAATATTCCATCTCGAAGATGCTCAATCTAGAGCCCAAGAGAAAACTTTGTCTATCCAATATCATTTATTTCAAACTCTTCTTTCATATGAGTTCTTGCATCAACAATCTCATTTTTAGTCTTAATCATGTTTAGATCATCAACATAAACAGCTATGATCACAAATCCTAACACGGATTTCTTATTAAACACGCAAGGGCATATCACATCATTGACGTAGCTTATACTCAACAAATATTTACTTAAGCGATTATACCACATGCGTACAGATTGTTTTAGTCTGTAAAGTGATCGCTGAAATTTGATCGCACATATCTCTTTAGATTTTGACTTTACTGCTTCAAGCATTTTCAATCCTTCAGGGATTTTCATATGTATATCACTGTCAAGTGATCCATATAAATCTGTTATCATAACATTCTTCTGGTACATCTCTAAATCATTAGAGGTTGTTAAGCTCATTAAGTACATGAATGTGTTAGCATCCACTACCGGGGAATATGTCTCTTTATAATCAATTCGCGGTCTTTGAGAAAATCCTTGTGCTACAAGTCGAGCTTTATATCTTATGATTTTATTTTTCTCATTTATTTTCTTTATAAAGATCTACTTGTATCCGACCGGTTTTACACCGTCAGGTATTGTGACAATTGGTCCAAAAAAATTTCTTTTATTGAGCGAGAGTAATTATGTTTCTATGGCCATTTTCCATTTCTCCCAATCATGGGTTTCTTGACATTCTAATATGGACCTTGGGTCTGGATCATCATATTCATGATCGATCTCTTTGGATATAGAAAAAAAGAACGTTCCATCATTATCTTCTATATCACTTCTAGCCCATAATTTTCCACTTTGGACGAAGGAGATGAAAATCTCATATTTTTTTGCTCCAAATTCGTCTTCAGGACAAATATCTTATGGAACTGCTTCACAAATTTCTTCAAGACATTTTAGTTCTTCTGGAACCATTAATCCTAATTTCTTTCTCTTTCGGGGATTTTTATATTTTAATTTTATTGGCCTCCCGCGCTTTAGCTGAACCAGTTCATTTGCTCTATTTACATCAATATATTCTTCAGAAACATTTATCTTTGATGGAGCATTAGCGGCGGGGATATAGGATTTTGTTACCCGTTTTGTATATGTGAAGGCATCAGGTTATCGATTTGCCATATTTTGTAAATGTATCATTTTCTGAACTTCAAATTCCGGTTAATTAGTAGGAGGATCAAGATAAACCAGTGAGTGTGTACACAATGTGACATCATTTGGTGATTCTCTTAATCCTCCCCCTAACGCGGGAAATTCATCATCATTACAATGGCAATCGGCAAAACGTGCCATAAATATATCACCAGTTTGTGGTTCCAGGTAATGAATTATAATTGGTGATACGTAACCAATGTATATCTCCAATCTTTTTTGTGCTCCCATTTTTGTTCTTTGCGGTGAGGCTATGTGAACATAAAACGCACATTCAAAAACACGAAGATGAGATATATTTGGTTCCTGGCCAGATACTAACTATATGAGATAATATTCAGTATATGCACTTGGCCTTACTTAGACCTGATATCTTGCTATTTTAGAGCATTTTAGGCTGCATTTCATGCATCTTTTCTTTTGTTTTTGTATTATAGTTTAGCATTTTAGTCTCATTTGTACTTAGAATCACCATTGCATGCATTTAGCTTAGGAATGCATACACTTGCATACATGTGCATGTTTTTGGTGATTTTCAGGTGTTTTTGGAGGTTCTTGGAGTTGGGAAGGAGATGGAAGCAGCTCATGTTCGAAGAAGATGTAAAGAATGAGCTTTTGCAAAGTCTGGTCCATATCGAGCAAGAATGTCTAGCAAAACCTCAGTGGAG